CATTTAAACATATATACCATATTTTTTGGAGTATAAGACACACCTTTCCCCCCCCAAAAGAGGGTGAAAATTTGGGTGCGTCTTATACACCGCATGTAGCCTTGCCCAACCTAGCCTCTGAAATGGAGGTTTCAGAGGCTGAAAAAAAAGCCTCTGAAACCTCCGTTGTTGTCACGTGATGTATCGCGAGTCCCCCCCACCTTTGCTAAACGGGTGGGCATGTGACGCATCTGGTCCATGGGCCACAAGTTTGACAACCTTGGTCTAAGCATTGGGATTATAACAGCATTGCTTGTCCAGTTAAAGGACAAGATACATAAAAAGCATATTGGTGTTAGTTGACCTTGAATCAGGAAATGGACTTACTCAATGGCCTCATATACATGTAAAACGGATGTGGTGAGAGCATCAAGCTCTGAGGTACCCTTGGTGTGTCGATTTTGTTGGGTAGCAGTTTTTTGCCCTACACTGTTGCTCAGTTGAATGGTGGACTGATTGTTGCATGAGTTGTTCATTGCAAGAACGGCATTGGTAAAGAAAACCACAGGATACTGGGACTCAGTCTATGATGCCTTGGTGGGACTGAAAATGGTGCATAAAAATATCACACCAACCCCATTGGGTTGGAAGCATGGGGAAAAAAATGTACTGCCATTGATTGTGTTTTATTTTAGTAATGAACTAATACTGCCTTAGAATTCAAGTCAGAAAATCTTCACTGTCAACTAAGCTGCTTCCCTGCTGCAAATCACAAATATTTCAGTTTTTTTGCATGAGAATTCATGTTTGTTCACGTGTTTTTATGAAGTGCAGTGGACCAGAGTAAGTGAGAATATGGTTACATATTTAATTTGGTGAAGGTGGAGTGAAGGTTCACTTTCAGTTTAATGTTCCATCCTACAGAGTAAATTCCATTGGTGACACAGTGAGAGGATGCAAGATAAACAGTATTTATAAGGAAGTAATATCCATTAAAATCCGTGACTCTTACTGTTACTTTTAAATAAATAAACTTGGGATTCTAGATTTGAATAATGAAAATTTAAAATGTTCAGCTGAAAGTAAAATAATGTGATGTTTCTTTTATATGAAAACTTTTTAGCATCCAGATTTCCTAAACCGCTGGTACCATTTAAGATGTCAGTGAAACAGGTAGCATCAGCAGAAATACCTAGGGCTTTGGGTACAGTAAATTTTGCTATTTGTTGATAAATAAGGCATGATGTGAGTAAATGGTGCTGGTCATATAATAACCGTACATGAACTTACTAATGTTTCCCCCATCAAATGATCTGGCATGTTCTGATATAAATGCTTTTGGTTAATTCTGTCTGCATCAGCATTTGATTTCTTTCAGAGTAATAGAAAATGAGAACTTTTGCTTCTAAAATAAAAATTATCCTAATTACTGTAATTGCTGAACTGATCTAAATTAAAATTTGCTTGCAGTTTAGTTTAAACTGATCCCACTTTAATTAAAGGACTCACATTAGTGTTTTAAGCAGGTACATTAGTTTAGATGAAGTGAGAATGATCTGAAAAGCTTATACATTCTGATAAGGCCCTCTAACATATGTTTTACTATGGGTTATTTTCAGTTTAATTTAGGACATTTCGACATCTTTGTCTTGTCTGGATGTAATAGCAAACTATGATTTGAAAAATACTCCCCAGTCAGACCAAATAATTTGTCATTTTGTTATGAAGCCCTGCTTGTAATAACTGTTTGTAATAACTAGTTGAAGCCTGAGAACAGCAGTCTTTTTCTGCTGCTTGCTTGCTTCCAAGATTGTCTTTATTTTATTAATATTGTTACTCTAAAAGATATATTTGAAGAGGCGTTTGGCACAGAGTTTTTTTGCATGAGATTTAGAAACTCACCCAAGTGGCTTAATCTGCTCTTTTGCATTTGAAAGAAACAATTGTTGTAATTGTAACTTGTGGAAATTAATTACATATATGATTTCATATGAAGAAAGTGCTTCTGGCACTTTCTTCATATGAAGAAAGTTGGCCTTCAATTATTGCAGTAATGATGAAAACAGCTGCTTTTCTTTGCCTATTTTTTCTGCACTGGCTGAAATTTCATTCATTTCTGATGTGTTATTTTTTTATGAATGGAAAGTCTTACATCATTTATCCTTTTTTCCCCCAATCAAGGTAATCCTGCCCATCTGATAATTTTCTTACATTTTTCAGCATGTGTTCCAGACAAAGCATGATTCAAATGTGGATGACCCAGAAAAAAATGGTTCACAACTTAATACAAGCACGTCCTTATTTTTCCCCCTCCATTTACTGATCCAACACAAATGCAAGCTATAGTTCATAAGTTCTGGTGTAATACCAAACCATTAACAGGAGTTGTTGTGATTGTAGCACACAATGGAAGAGAAAAGCCTGTAGTATAGTGGACTAAGCACTGTTATTAACATATGCTGCTTGCAATTACTGCAAGTTCAAATCTCACCAGGCTCAAGGTTGACTCAGCCTTCCAACCTTTCAAAGGTAGGTGAAATGAGGACCCAGATTGTGGGGGCAATAAACTGACTTTGTATAAATATACAAAAGTATGAAGGCTATTGCTTAACGCATTGTAAGCCGCCCTGAGTCTCCGGAGAAGGGCAGCATATAAATTAAAGCAAATAAATAAATAAAAAATACTGGTAGTCTTTGACTTAACAGTCATTTATTTAACAACAGTTCGAAGTTGTGATGATGCTGAAAAAAATGACTTATGACCAGTCCTTACATGACCATTGCAGCATCCCTACTTTCAGGTAATCAGAATTTGGACACTTGGCAAATGGCATGTATTTACAATGGTTGCAGTGTCCTGGGATCATATGATTGCCATTTGCAACCTTTCCAGAGGGTTTCTGGAACTGTGGTAGTGCAGTGGTTAGAATGCAGTATTGCAGGCTAACTCTGACTACTGCCAGCAGTTCAATTCTCACTGGCTCAAGGTTGACTCAGTTTCCCATCCTTCCAAGGTGGGTGAAATGAGGACCCAGATTGTTGGGGGGCAATGTGCTGACTCTGTGAACCACTTAGAGAGTGCTATAAAAACACTGTGAAGCGATATATACGTCTAAGTGGTATTGTTATTTACAACAGGCAAAATCAATGGGGGAAGCCGGGTTCGCTTAATGACTGCAGCAAAAAAGGTCATAAAATCCAGCATGACTCACTTAAGGGACTGCATCACTTAGCTAAGGAAGTTCCAATCCCAATTGTGGTCATAAGTCAAGGACTACTTGTAAGAAAGGTTGAAAACATTATAGAAGATGATACATTTATTTATACATTTTGAATGTGGGTTAGTTTTAATATTTAATATTACACAGGAAAGTACATATCTGAGCTCCTGGGATTTTTTATCCATGTTTAAATGATAACCACTTTTTTGCATTAATGAGGCCAAAGGCAGGAAGTTACTGATAAAAGTATGTTTTGATAAATATTTGCATATTCATGTAAAACCTGCAAATGAAACATTCAATTGAAGCCTTTGTTCTCATAATCTGTTTATGAGAGAATATCCCACTTATTGAAATAAGGATAAAATATTGATTTGATTCCTGTGCCTTTTATCCAGCAGTGCAAACATCTTTTATCGTACTGTGCCATTTTTAAAGGATTCTTGAATAAAATGTTTGTACAAAGAGGAAAAAAAATGCCTTTTTGTAATGCATTTAAGATTCTCACCATCAAGCGACTTTCTGGCTTTGCCTTAACAGACAGATTGGAAAAGGAATACATATTTATATACTCTGAAATAGTAATAGATTTGAGACACAGAAGGTAAACTCAGGGAAGATAAAATCCTTCATTCTGTCTACGTAGATTTCTTTATGTCAGGTCATCATTCTCTCAGAGGCTCTGAACTGGCATATATTTATTTTGCCTTGTATTGTTTCTATTTCCCCCCTTACTCCAGGAGCTTTGCATGGAGAAACAGGTTAGATTGTGCTAAATAGTCACCAGTAAGAGCGAATTTTGATGCAATATATTATTGTGTGTGCACATTACTCAAAACTGTAATGGACTCTGGGTCTTGTTGAATGTGATTTGGGAATGCAGCCACCGTGATTTGCAAACCAGGAGTCATAACTTAATGTTACCCATGACACCTGACTTGTTTGAAACATGATTAAATGATATCCATTTGCCGTAATTCTTTGCCAACAATGATCAATGCTTTTGTTAAATCATAATCAACTACCTATAGGTCGCTTATCACAAAAAAATAGATTTAGGGTGTATGTCTGTATATTGTTTCAGTCAAGAGAATCTAAGCCGCTTAAATAGAAATATACTACACATGGCAAAAAAAATTAAAATCTTTATTTAATAACCCACAAACCTTAAACTTCATAAAATTACATAAATTTTACCATATGGTTGCCAGATACCTCCTCATGACATCCTTAATTCTCTATTTATGGCTGCTGAATAATAGTTACGCTGCCAATTTTTGGTGATCTACTGCTTAAGCAATTTTTCATTGTTAATTAAATCAATTTTTATTTCCTGAGTAATCCTTGAAGTCAGTGGAAATTGATGAAGATTTCTGTCATGGAACTGTTTCATAGCCATAAACTAATGTTACAAAATCATTCTGGCCAGTTTAACATTTTTTTTATAGTGCTGGTTCAGATGTCAAAGTAGTTCTGCCTTTCCTGGCTAAGGATGGGTTTTATCTAGATAATGAAAATATAAATGATTTTTTTTTTCAAAGTCTGCCCATTCCTTGAATACGATAAACCGTTTTAAATTGTGGGACATTTATTGTAGTGATAACAAAGTTAAGAAAAATGTTGTGTCATATTTAGTGACTTGAAGGGACAGGTTTTTTAAAAATTCCAATGAAGTTCGTGGAGCATCTACCTTACCTATATTTTTTTCATCAGAATTATTATTTTGCGTGTTCACACTGCTGTGTATAAAATAACTAGCCAAATATGTCTATGCTTATAGATTCCTTTCTTTAAATTTAGAGAAGCTGGAGGTTGCACCACCATCCACTGGACAACTGAAACATGGTAAATGCTTATGTCTATTTTGTATTTAAAAAATAAATAAATAAATCAGATGGTTAGGGAATTGAAAGCCTCCAAGAACGGCAGTGCTTTGCCACTCTTAGTATTTGGCTGTTACTTTTCACTTTTGGGGGGACACTATTAGCCCTGCTAGTTCAAGGTCTACCAGAGAGTCTGCTCTGATGAGGATCTCTTGAATTCTTCCTCATTTCTCTCTCTCCCAGTTACAGATTGGCTAACATCCCTTGTGTGCAGAGCAATTCCACCAGTGACTTGTCACTGATTCCTCTATGTATGTGCTGCTTTTCCCCCTGCGTCACCCTACTGCAGATGGAATTATCTAGAAAGTACTCAGAATGGATCTGGCCTTTCAGAGATAGTCACTTTGGCATTGGCGATCGCGGCATACAAATTGCTGGTGGTTAGTTGTATTCAAGAGACTAGGAAAAGACCCTTCTGGTTTGGGTTATTTATAGAAACAGAGTGACGTGCTTGGGATTTTAAGCACAGTTCAGCCCTTATTTGGATAAATAACACACTGCCATATTATTTGATATAATTGCAAATGGCGATTCAAACACTTAAAACATTGTTTTTTGTTCTAGTGTTCTTCCACAATGCAGTACCTTTTGTAGGCTTTGGATTTTTTGATAACGCCATTATGATTGCTGCGGTAAGTCATCTTGATACCAATCTTTATATATACTGAAATATTTCTAGTATTGCAGCAATGCAGCATTGCTACTTTCAATTCTGCTTTAACACACCATTATACCAATGCAGTAAAATGCATATTGCTTTGGGGTCTTCTAGAGCAGTAGTGTCAAGCTCAATTTCATTGAGGGCCGCATCAGGGTTGTGTTTGACCTCGGGGGTGGGTGGGTGGGGAGGTGGGCGTGGCCACCTTGATGTCACCTGTGGTGGCCAGTACTAAGGCAGGACTTCCCTCAGACCCTCCCTCACTCATTATAATCTCCCTTCCTCCCTTCCTCCCTCCCTCTCCTTTCTTCTTCCTTCCCCTCTTTCCTTATTTTTCCTTCCTTGCTGTCTTTCCTCTTTCCCTTTCTTCTTTCCTGTCCTTTCTTGCATGAATTGCAAAAGGAGAAACATTTCTCCTTTTGTTTTGTTTTTAGTTTGTTTTGCTATCTCTCTGTCAGTGAAAACGGAGCCCAGGAGGGCCGCATGCGCCCCCCGGGCCCCGTTTTTGGCCGCGACAGCCTCCTGCAGCCCTCTGCCAGTGAAAACGGAGCTCAGGGTGGCCGCGCACAACCCTCCCATGGGCCATGAGTTTGACATCCCTGTTCTAGAGGAACTGGTGAGCAGGTGGGCCCCCTTCCTCTTTTTACACTTGCATTGTTTCCTACAAGTGATTCCTGATGCGTTGTCTACGTAATGTGTGGGTGATAATGAAACTCTCTATTATTTTTAGGGCACACAGATAGAGTTATCGATAGGGATTGTGTTTGGAATTTCTACCATGGCAGGCAAGTAATGAAGGTCATTGCTGTTTATGTGGATTTTTATAGCTGTTTATTTATCATTTAAGTTTATGTGCACAGTGAAATTCATAGAACCCTTTGCTGCTGTTTGAGGAAAGCATGTGCTTAACATCAGTGGAAACCTTTCTCACGAGATAAAATTAGGAACACATCCATCTTTGTCTGAAGTTTCCTGATATTTTTCTTCTACTTCTTCCAACACAATTTTGGGAAAACAGTATCTGTAAATAAGATAGCATTTCTACTCTTTTAAAAAAATAGCTGTATCTGAGTGCTGTTTCCCTATATGGGTACAAAAATATGGGGGGGAGGGTGTTATTTTGTAGAAGTAATTGAAAGAGTATGGATATTATTATTTTTTTTGCAAAGGGGAAATAATTATGACTTACTGTCTGAACAAGGGTTTGGTTTAGTGGCTAAGGCACCAATGTAGAAACCAGGAGACTCTGAATTCTGGTTTTGTTTTAGGCATGAAAAACAGCTGGGAGACTTTGAGCCAGCCTACAGTATCAGCCTCGGGTGACAAGTCAGTTGATCAATTCTTGTTGCAACCAATGGATCGACTGTCGATTCATTCGAAAAGAAGCAGACCTTGCTTCTTGCTTTTAGGGGGGTTGGGGGTGGTGGGAAAGTGAGGAAAAGAAAAATACGTATTATTGGAGGAAAGAAGCTAATAAAGGATGAATCACTTGGCATTAGGCCATGTTGTGATGTTGGATTTTGGCTAAGTCTGCTGTTACAGTCTGTGGTTTAGTGCGATACAGTATATATACCCAGACTCTCCATATGAAGAATTGGCCGCCTCATTTTGCTTCCAGCTTTTGAAGAAATTTGTTTTATCTTTTACGTGTTGTTATTCCATACTTTGACTTCTGAAAGTTTGATATAATTTTGAGAAATAGAATATGCTTTCTTTCAAATACAATAAACACTACTGTACTTAGTTTTAAATTGAATATTAGTTTATTGTAGATCAAAGTTTGTCATCATCTTGTTCTAAAGCAGTGATGGCTAACTTTTTCCGGACCGAGTGCCCAAAGTGCGTGCACGCACACGAATGCACTCATGCCCGAACCCCAAAATCCAATGTGCGTGCAGTCTCTGCCCATGCACCCCGCGCATGCATGTGCAGGCCCCACATGTGCCCCACCCCATGCATGCGTGTGTGCCCCCCTCAAATGTCCCTCCCCCTGTGCATGTATGCATGGCCCCTGCGTGTGCTCCATCTCCCCAACGCATGCGCACGAGGCCCCCCGCATGTGTCCCATTCCTACACGCATGTGCAGCAGAGACCCGAAGACCAGCTGGTCAGTGGGAGGCACCCACTCATGTGCGGCGGAGCTGAACTGTGGCGACGGCTCACGTGCCCACAGAGAGGGCCATAGGTTTGCCATCATGGCTCTAGAGAATATAAACAGTATATTGTTGGAGCAGATTAAAGATCTGTCATATCAGCATTCCCTTCTCATAGAGGCCAGGGGAATACCTGAAGAAAATAACACGTAGCTTTATTGAGGCTTCATTTCTAGTTTGAGCTAATCATACATACATATTTATACTAAAGAGTGGAGAATGGAGGTAGAGTCATTGTGAGACATTAAGTACTTTACAATTTATATCGTTATATTAATTTCCCTGGTTTCAAGTTGTTTCTGGGCTGAAATCAAAGTCCTTTTTTTGATTTAAAACCCCTTCTTAGGAATTGCCCATTTAAAAGAATTTTTTTCCTCAGGTTCCTCTTTTGAGGACTGTGTTTCAGATTCTCTTGAGTACCAAAAAAAAAAAAAAAAATCTGAGACAGCTGCTTTAGTTTTAATAACAATAACCTAGAAGTGTTTATGCTCCTCAGGATCAACCATGGCTAATTACTGAAAATTTTGTAAATTCCCCTGCTAAATAAATTTGTGATGTTCTCATACTTTTTTTTTTTAATTTTCATGACGGCTGATTGATTGATGTTATATTTTTACACTATGTTGAAAAGCGGCTTCTGTGAGGTATATAAATATATCCAATAACAATCTTCAGAAGAATTTTAGTTTTAAGCAATAATATGGTTATAAAACATGTTCTGGGTATTTCTGCAGTGTTACTAATTTATATAATACTGTAATTTTCCAACTATCCAGCTGCTGCCTTGGGAAATCTTGTCTCAGACTTAGCTGGATTGGGGTAAGTTTAATTATATATTTTTTCATGAACTTGCAGTATTTTTCTATAATAGAACCATTTGAAGCTGAAAATGCCTTGCTAGTCTTAGCTCAGAATGATAGCTGGAAAAGCACCATAACACTTTGAGTAACTAACAACCTGATTTGAACATGGACATGTTTTGCACGTTCCCTCATGTTTTTTAATTTTGATATAGAGGTAGTCCTCGACTTACAGCCACAATGGAGCCCAAAATTTCTGTTGTTAAGTGAGACATTCGTTGAGTGAGTTTTGTCCTATTTTACGACCTTTCTTGCCACAGCGGTTAAGGGAATCATCGCAGTTGATAAGTTAGTGACACGGTTGTTAAGTGAATCTGGCTTCCCCATTGATTTTGCTCGTCAGAAGGTCACAAAAGATAATCACACGACCTTGGGACACAGCAAAGGTCATAAATGTGAACCAGTTGCCAAGCATCTGAATTTTGATAACAGGATTATGGGGATGCTGCAAAGTTCATAACCATGAAAAACGCTCATAAGTCACTTTTTTCAGTGCCTTTGTAACTTTGGACGGTCACTACATGAACAGTTGTAAGTCGAGGACTATTTATTGGGATTTGAGGATAGGCTGCTACAGAGTACTATAAGCTGGAACTCCAATTCAAGTTAGGGTGTTGGAGCAAAGGGTGTAACTTCATAGATTAGTCGTGCCTACTGCCTTCGGTTAAGTTCATATTTCCTCCTCCTGTTTTGAATTCTTACCCAGTTCTCAAATCAGGTAAGAATAGATGTTTATGTGAAGAAGAATGGGAACTTCAGGAGTTGACATTGTAATATTACCCAAAGAATCATCTAGCAGGGAACTGTGTTTTTATTAAATTTATATTCTGCTTTTCCAGGGAAAATTGGGCATTTAAGGAGGTTTAATAAATTTAGCATGATATAAGAATATAATGATTCAAAACAAAAATATTTCACATTAAGCATTTTTTAAAAGGCAAGAATGATTAAAATGCTCAAAGTGGAAAGGAAGGAGTTTCAGTTTTTGCCACCTATTCTATGCCTAAATTAGAACGTTTATGCACTTACAAATCATTAAAAACAATATTACATTCAAGATTTAAAATGCTCCCTTTTCTATTATATAGTGGGTTGTCATTGCAGAATTTTAATTTTCTACACTTAATCAAAATTAAGCAAAATTGGTCTGTTTCAGAGATTCATGTGCTCAATGTATTCGTATTTTTTCTCCCAAGTCTTGCAGGCTACGTTGAAGCTATGGCCTCCAGATTGGGCCTTTCAATTCCCGATCTCACCCCCAAACAAGCTGATATGTGGCAAACACGTGTTAGTGCACACTTGGTGAGTATGTGTATTTATGGATGAGAGCACAAGGGGAAACCAAGACAGAGAAAAATAGCAACTTCGATATTGCCTGAGCACTAGAATTTGGATACCAATTATGTGGGGATAAAAATAGAAACTGAATCTTTTAGTGTAGATTATTATGCACCATAATCTGCATCAAACTGATTCTAACAAGAGGAATTCAAATCTACTTAATTGCACGTTATTTCCTGTGCAAAGTTATGAGCTCCTAATCTGAAAACTAAAGTATGACTTTATAACCGTTTTTCAAAGTTGCAACCTTTGCAGCAGCCCTGTTATCATGTGATCAAAATTCAGGTGCTTGGCAAAGCAACTGCTTTGTACTTACGACCGCTGCTGTGTCCCAAGGTCACGGGATCCCCTTTTGTGACCTTCTGACAAGTAAAGTCAATGGGGAAGACAGATTCACTTCTTCTGGCTAACTTATCAGCTGCAGTGATTCACTTAATAACTATGGCAAGAAAGGTCGTAAAATGGGGCAAAATTCACTTAACAAATGTCTCACTTAACAACAGAAATTTTGGGCTCAATTGTGATCGTAAGTCGAGGACCACCTGTACATAAGTGATGTTAATTGGATGTTCAGTATTGGATTTGATCCTAAATGAACATCCCATTCTCTTTGTTTCCCCCCCCCCCCTTGTTTTTTAGGGTAAAGCTATTGGAGTGACCATTGGCTGCCTTTTAGGAATGTTTCCATTGTTCTTCCTTGGAGATGAAGAAGACAAAAAACTGGATGGAAAAAAATAACCTTTTTACAATGTTTATCTATACATATATAAACTAATGTACCTCAGATATACAACTATGCTGTCCAAGTATATAGGAATTTAGAGACAATAACAAGCAGCATGCTATTTTACAGAAGCACTTAACTTATTGTGGCTGTGTCTTAGTAACATCTTTTTTATAAGGGTTTTTTTCCTTTTTTTAAATGTAAATTGTTGACATGCGATTTCACTTAACACTGATGGTTGACCTTTACCGTATCTCCCTCTTCGTTGGTTTCCTTCACCTGGATTGTTAACTTTAATTACCTGTCATTGATGCGGTGTACACCTTTTGGGTTTGCATTTTTCTTAGCCTTCGGAAACGCATGGCACAAATTGCCCCTGGATACCCATGAAATTTTCCGCTCCAGATTTTAGTGTAGTTAGCTGACAGCTGCCCTAGGAAATACCATGCTATAACTTTCTTGCTTTTATTTGTCTTGTGGCCATATTTGTACCCAGGTGCCTGAAGCAAAGACGGTTAGAACAAGTGTTGGCTTGTGAAAGGAATGATGGTGAGATATTTTGGCAAGGCCAATGTACAGACCCATTTTATGGTCAGAGTTCCCCCCCCCTCTAGACAGAGTGTGTCACTAAATTACCCAGATGGCAGCTTAGATCAAAGCGACCCCTACAAGTTGATATCGCCAGTAATAGATCGCATGCAATGCAGCAAATTTGGAAAGTGTCTAAAGCCTCTTGCCTCTGCAAGATGCTTTAGAAGTATCGGCCATCTTCATTCTCGGATTTCCAGTACCGAATATTCTCACCGAATTATTTGTGTGCATGTTTGTTTTGCCATAGTATACTTGAAAACCGGGCTTAGTCTCCACTCGACCCATGAACTTTCCATCTAGTTTGCCTTTCTAAACAAGAAACAAACATAATATTAATCGGGCCAAACTCTATTCCTGATCTGAAGGCATTCTGAAACGGGATAAAGAAGTTGGATGCAGAAGAGAATTGAGCCGGTATGATGCCAAACAGAAGAGGGGGGGGTGAAGGGGAGCAGTTGGCAAAGATGAGAGCAAAGGAGAGTTTAGAAGGAAAATACAGCAAAATATTAAGCCTTGACATATATGGCTGTCTCTCCCCCCCCTCCCCCCCAAATGCGCTGATTCTACCGTAAAACAAATTTCTGCCACTGTTGCATGTTTTTTCTGCTTTAGGAATTCAGGAGTAATGATATTTGTGTCCTTGTCTGTGAATGTCAGTGGGGGAGAATGGTAATCAGGTGGTCTAAAATTGATCCTGTCTGGACGAGTGATTAGTCTGTGCAGAATTTAATTTGCAGAAATAAAACTTGTTTACTTTTCATTTACTAGGGTTTCTTTTCATTTTGCCTTGTGCTTGCAGTTAAGTGTGCAGTATTCAAACGAACTGAAACTTCTTAAAGAGCATTATGTTTTCTTGATTATGTGGTGGGTATATTCTAAAGCATTTTGTTTTTGTTAAATAAAGAGGACCATTTGTTCACCTGACGTTTCCAGTGAAATGTATTTACTGAAAGACCTAAATTTGATTGCACGTTTGATCACAACAATTCAGGTGCCTCGTCTTCTGCTGTCTAGAAATTTTGTAATAAGTCAGAATTGGCAAAGGGTGGCCCGCATGCAGTTCCCAACTGCCAATATCAAGAATTGCACTGCTAAAATTACTGACAAATTACTACATTGGAGGAACACTGCAATCCATTGCTCATATAGGAAAGAACCAATCCCGAAAAAGGAAAACAAGTTGGGGAACATTATTTGGATTGGCTTTAAACACCCACAAAAATGTAGCGAAACAACATTGAAACCTACCCTGGTCCTCTATAAATCATTCTAAAAATACAACCACTTATTCTAAATAATCCCAATCCCCATCTTAAACTTCCATATAATTCCTTCTAGTGGGTGAAACTACTTATCATCTGCATATACCTTTACTTTCTGGGTGAAACTAGATAAAAATTTGATAAAAGATAGTGGAAAAAAGGGGCTTGAAATAAAAATGGAAATCCTTTAGTTTCCTCTCTTGCCTCTAAATATGTACATTGGCTGAGACACACAAAGCACTAAGCTCTAATGCTGTACATTTAGCATTTTGGAACAATGAGGGCTGTCATTGCATGATCTAGGGAAAAACATGAAATAACACTTGTAGATCGATATTATGGAGACTCCTGTGTGGCCTGAGGCATCTTTTGGCCTTTGAAGTTCAAGAATTGTACATCTCTTCAAAGCTACTTTACACATATCAGTAACACTTAGACTTGTATAGCGCTTCACAATGCTTTACAGCCCCCTCTAAGCGGTTTACAGAGTCAGCATCTTGTCCCCAACAATCTGGACCCTCATTTTACAGACCTCGGAAGGATAGAAGACTGAGTCAACCTTGAGCCTGGTGAGATTCGAACTACTGGCAGTGGGCAGAATTAGCCTGCAATACTGCATTCTAACCACTGCACCACCACGACTATTATACCAACCAGCTATTGTGGCTTGGTTTGTTCAGTAAGCCATGATTAATAAACCAGCTTAGTATGGTGGTTAAATAATATTCCTTTCATTAACAGTTTGTCTTCAGAATGTTCAGACATGGATATGTAATAGTAAATACAATTATTTTTGGTAGCTCAGTGCATTAATTTTACACCAATACTCGCATTCATTATTAAATATATATTCCTTGTTTCACATTGAATTTTCATTCTGGTTTCAAGAAGTTGCATATAAATGGTAAGTACACATTTTATTATTTTTATTTTCTGTTGAAATATTTTGCTTCTTTTTTCCTAACCTTTGGCTTAAATTTTATGTTGTGCCATTTGAAGGAATTGGGAATATCCTTCAATTAGACAATACATTTATGTGAGCTGACAAACTGATGGGGCACAATAGTCTTTTTACACAAGAAAACAAAACCTATCCAATAGGGCAGCAATATTTTGTGTTCATGAAGTATGTAACTTAATCTTCATTTGTGCATTTGATTATATTTTGTTGCTATTATTTATCAATTTATTGAAATGGAAAACATTTTTAACAAAGGGAAATGAACTACTTATCTGATACTACAGTATACAGTACATCTGGGCATCTTATGGCCCCTGGACCACATCCAGCCCTTTAGCTGTCCCTGTTGGGTTCACATGAGGTTAATTGGAAATTAGAAATCAAATATAAGTGTGTGCTAGGCATGCAATACAACTGGATTGCTTTTATTTTGAAGGTGATTGCAATTTTGATTTAATTTAGTATGTGCGTGCATGCATGCCTACGCACCTTCACAATCCCTATTTGGCCGCCAACAACAATCCACGTTTCTCATGTGGCACCTTCAGAAAATTAATTGCCCACCTTTACACGGTATGTATTCTTGTATGAAATGTTCCTTGCTGTCATACATTATAATGAATAGTGCCAGTCATCATGGTGGATCTATTAAGTAATTTGAATTGTGTTACTAAAAATGTGCCATCATTCCAAACAGGAATTGGAGACACAAATTTAAGAGTTGACAGAAATCCACTATTCCAATAAAATTTGGCCAGACTTTTAATCGGCACTGTAACAGATGTGGGTCTCACAAATATGTAAGACACGGCTAAAAGTTCTAGATTTAATCATTTTGGGATGTAAACTCATAGGTAATCAAAGCCAGCAACCATTGACTTTAGGGATCCTGTCTCTAAAGCATTATTTGTACTTTTGTAGATTATTATTATTATTATTATTATTATTTTGCTGCTTTTCTGGATATGACAGGTGTTAGCAACCTGCGTCTCCAGAGCCGCATGCGGCTCTTTGGGCCCTCTGCTGTGGCTCCCTGTCGGGTGATTCCACCACTGGCTGGCCCCGCTCCTCACCCTCCCCTCCCAGTCACTCGCCTGGCCTGAGAAGATAAGGGCGACAGCGGGTGATGGAGAAGTGGCTTAGGCAGATACAGAGAGGGGGAGAGAGAGAGAGAGACGAGAGATACAGAGAGGTGGGGAGAGGGAGAGAGAGATGTCAAAAGGGTTTTGTGGTTCCCGGTATTTTTAAACAACCGGTTCTCTACCCAAATGACCGGGTGAGTAGGCGTGGCTAGGGGATCATGTGACTGGTGGAAGTGAGTGACATCGAATTGGCCACGCCCACCCAGGTTTTGAGGCTCCCGGTGTTTTGTTTTCTGTGGGAAACGGGTCCAAATGGCTCTTTGAGTGTTTAAGGTTGCAAACCCCTGGGATATGAAGACTGAACCAAGCCTCTGGAAGTTACATTTTCCTGTTGGCCCTTCGGTGTAATCCTGAAATCAAAACACCATTCTGAAATCTGTATCATAGATTATTCTCATTTATGGTTCATATGCTAGAGTTGGGCAGAGTTGGGCAGATTGGTGGAGTTTTGATCAGGTGAGAGCAAGTCACTCTGTTTCCATCTGGATGCTAAAAGGGTTTGAAAAGCATCCATTCTTTTAGCATCCATCTGGATGCTAAAAGCAAGGGAAGCTTGTATTTATGATACTATTATCTAGCCACTACAGATGCTTCACAGCAGACAACAATTCTATTCATTGGAACAGTAATCCACACACAAATTTATTCCTCTCCACTTTTTTCACACAAAAAAGGGCTAAAGCATTAACACGTTTCAACGGTTGTGTTATTTGGAAATGGGGTTTTGGTATCTAGTGCTCCCATTTTCATGAAGTAATTAAATTTGTGTCTGATTTTATGAATCTTTTTGCCATGGTTGTTAAGCAAAACTTAAGTGAAACATAAGCTGGGAGGCTCACGAATGGCGATCATATCACTCCAGGATGGTGGAACTGTGCCAAATACACGTTAGGTATCTGCATTGCTGCAATGGTTGTAAATGCAAGAACCAGTCGTAAGCACATTTTCCAGTACTATTGTCACCTCAAATAGTCATGGACAAGTGTTGCAAGTCAAGGGCAGCTAACTATATCCTTTCACGTGAAATATATGTCATTAAATATATTTCAGCCACCCCTTTCTGCTCAGAAGCTAAGCAGACAAAGGCCTGGTTAGTGTTTGGATGGGAAACCTCAAGGACGATCGAAGATTAGGCTTGGAAGTGGAATATATTCTGGGAAAAGGCAATGATAAAAGCACACCACTCAAACTGCTGCCAAGAAAACTTTATGGATGTAAAGCAGTGGTGAAATCTAAAATTTGTTACTACCAGTTCTGGGGGCGTAGCTTGATGGTGGGGGGTAATGTGACTGGGTGGGCGTGGCCAATTTTTTTTTTTTTTTACTTTTAAAAGCATTTTTTCTACAACCTCTTCGGCGAAGAGGTTGAAAAAAAATACTTTCAAAAGGCTCTGACGATCCCAGCGGAGTTGCCTGATGGCAGAGACTTTTTTTTCTTTTAAATGCCTCTTGACGATCAGGCAACTCAACTTGGATCGTCAGAGGCATTTAAAAGAAAAAAAGTTTTTTTTCTTTTAAAAGCCTTTGATGATCCCAGCTGAGCCGCGTGATCATCAGAGGCTTTTTTTTTTTTTAAAGCATTTTTTCGGCCGAAGAGGTTGTAGAAAAAATGCTTTTAAAAGTAAAAAAAAAAAGCCTCTGATGATTGTGCGGCTCAGCTGGGCATGGGGGGTGGGGCGTGCAGGGATTTTTGCTACCGGTTCTCTGAACCACCCGCCTCCATCGCTACCGGATCGGGCGATCCAGTCCAAATCGGGAGCATTTCACCCCTGATGTAAAGTCACCTGGAATGAAGCTTGACCAAAGAGCCTAAATTTTTATTATAGAATAACAATAACAGATGAAAGGGATCTTGGAGGTCTTCTAGTCCAACCCCCAGTCAAGCAGGGAACCTCTACCATTTCAGACAAATGGTTGTCCAATCTCTTCTTAAAAACCGCCAGCATTGGGAGCACCCACAACTTCTGGAGGCAAGTTGTTCCACCGATTAATTGTTCTGTCAGGAAATGCCTCCTCAGTTCTAAGTTGCTTCTCTCCTTGATCAGTTTCCATTCACTGCTTCTTGTCTTCTGGTGCTTTGGAGAATAGCTTGACTCCTTCTTCTTTGTGGCAGCCCCTGAGATATTGGAACATTGCTATCATGTCATCCCTAGTTCTTCTTTTCATTAAACTAGACATATTCAATTCCTACAACCGTTCTCGCAACGATTCTTCCAGAGTGATTACATAGGGAGGCACATTGAACAATAACTATTGTTCATTAAACACATTTCTGTCATGCACCTATTCTGCCTGAGCGTAACGTTTTATCCTTGGTTTCTGTTGCACGGAGCAGGGTTTCGTCACACTTAAGGGGGAAGGCTTGTGCAACTTTACAAGTATACGTTGGTATATTTACTTCTCCTGGGGTTAACTAGAAGTTATTGGTATCCACCAGGAATTGGCTATTTTGTGGCTGCTACGCAACATGCCAGTTGGGATTGCACATCACAGCATCGTTATGAACGCATATGCTTCCGCTATCGTCTTTGATATCTGTACCAATGACATGCTCC